CAACCATCTGACCCATTCCTGCCTCCTCACCCCCATTATGCCAATCAGGATAACTTGCCAACTCCCCCACCACACCTACTCAGAAGCCACAGGGACCCCTGGGGGAGGGGAGCAGTTTGGCCTTCCCCCAGCCCACCCCCTGCTTTGACAATCAGTGATCCCATCTTACTGTCCCCTTCACCCTACAGAAGTTCACCCATCCTGTCCCCAGTCTCATTCCTGCACTGCTCCTGGGGCCAAATAAAGCTCAGAAACTTTGGTGGCCTGGCTGGGTGCTTCTTGTTGGGGGTCTGCAAGGGCAAGGGCTGGGGCCCAAGAGGGAGCCTCACCTCCAGGGGTGGGATCACACAAGGGCAGGGGTAGGGCTGCCCATCCTTGGAACCTACCAGGGGAAACTCACCCACCCACTCATGCATCCATTCATTCCTTCATTTGTACAGTCACTCATTCCTCTGAGTGCTGTGAGGAGTCGATGAGAATTTTCTTACCTGGGGAATTTATCCTGACTTGTGTCTAAGGTCATGTAGCTGGGTGAGGAGAGGAGACAGAGAGCAGAGGCTCCTTGGGTGCTGCATTCTGTACTGGATGTTGGAGCTGATCTGGAGACATGTCTCATTCAATTCCCTGACCTTGTAGAACTCACAGACAGGTTCTCACCTGGCTAAGGCCTTTCAGCCAGCAAGTGACAGGACAACATGTAAACCCAGGCATGTCTGACACCAAAAGCCACATTATCAAGCATCCTGCTGTCTGGTCCCTTAAATATAAAGTAGTGGGGACCCTAGCCAGTGTGGCTCAGTTGGTTGAGCATTGTCCCATGCACCAGAAAGTCACCAGTTCAATTCCTGGCTAGGGCACATTCCTGGGTTGTGGGCTCAATCCTCAGTAGGGGGCCTACAGGAGGCAACCCATCGATTCTCTCTCACATTGGCACTTCTCTTCCTTCCCCTCTCTCTAAAATCAATAAAAACATATTTATAACAAATATTAAATAAAATAGTGGGAGTCACAGGTAGACTTTTGTGGACATTCTGCTGGGAAGGCAGGAGCAGAACTTAGAGGATGATCCCCAGCTGGGGTTGAAAGGACAAGCTGGATTTTTCCAAGGGGAGAGTGGGGTAGGATGTTAGCTGGAACAAAGCAAAGAACACAGTCCTGTAGGCAGGAGAGCACTTGAGTGCTTTCCATAGTATGCTTGCTGTTACCAACTTCTGAAGCCCTAGTGTGTAGTTTGCCCATTCCCATGGTGTAAATACTCCCACTGTGGTTGATTTCAAACCTCCAGTGCGAAATAATCAAATATGGAGTTGAGAATGTCTATTAGCACACCAACATGTAGTATTTCCCAGGGTCAGGACCAGGATCCCAAAATTTAAGGCAAAGCCCAAAACAAAATGCTCAGTAGTCAAGGTAAATAGTGTTTTAATGCAATATTCTAAAAAAATAATGCAAAAAAGAAATCCACAATGGACAAAATATAAAAAACTTTAAAGACAGGATGTGACCTTGCACTTGGACCACTGTGCCTCATCCTAATCCTGGCCCTAGTTCTAATAAAACTTTATTTACAAAGATAAAACAGCTTGTGGTTGCACTTTACCAACTTGGTTTTTTAAACTATTGTATCAAAATAATGCCCTGGCTGGTGTGGCTCGTTGGTTGGAGCATGGTCGTCCCATGCACCAACAGGTGGCAGTTTCCATTTCCGGTCAGGGCACATACCCAGGTTGAGGGTATGATCCCCGAGCGGGAGGCAACCAATCAATATTTCTCTCTTTTACTTCCTCTCTCCCTTTCTCTCTCTGAAATAAAAAAAAAAAAAAAAAGTATTTCCTTCATACAAGTACTGTAGATGTAAATAACCTTAAGACCTTAACAGTAAAATCAGTGGTGAGTTTTGAGTATTACTTTTATTTTAACATAATGTACTCCATTGAAGTTTAATTTTTAGCAATTTAGTAAAAAAATTAATTTTTAGTAATGACTAAGTGTAATACGCAGGTCACAAAATTGCTGAAAATTTAACAGCCAGGGGCCAGTGCTGGCTGGCGGCAACACTCAGCTGTGCAGCCCTGCGGGGGAGAGGCAGGGTGCGAGGGGGAAAGGCGACACAGACGCCTATTGTTTAAGACCTAGGCCACCGCACTTTAATTGTGATCAATCAAGACTCCCTCCAGTTCTTCCGAACTTTGAATCAGTCCAGGCGTCATCGGTACCAGAAATGTGGACATCCCCAGGCTCCTCCGCAGCCTCTCCCCGCACCGTCGTCATGGCAACCGCGTCCTCAAGCCCTCCTTCCTCGCACGCAGTGGGAGCGCGGAGACACGCTCCCATTGGAGGAAAGTTTTAAGTGGGCGGGCTCCGCTCGCTCGCGTCGGCGAATTCATAGGAGCGGAGCCAGCCCGCATACTCCCATTGGCAGGTTGATCAGAAAGGGCGGGGCTATGGGCAGGACTTGCGGGGTGGGAGCGCGACCGCGGGGCAGCGCCTGGGAGGGAGAGAGCGAGGGGAAGTCCCGGGATATTTGGAAGGATAAAGGTGAGGCGAGGGTCACCTGGAGGGAAGGGGCGAGAAATCAGGGGCAGTGAGAGGGGAAGGGGTGGGCGACGCAGAGACGACGTTTGGGGATTCTCTGGGTGTCTGTCCCGCAGGGCGATGACCACACCGGCCGGCTCGGGCGCGGGCTTTGGCTCCGTGTCCTGGTGGGGCCTGTCCCCAGCGCTGGACCTGCAGGCTGAGAGTGAGTTCCCAGCCCGAGGGCCACATCTGTCCCAGCGGCTGCCTCCGCAGCCTGGCGGGTGGTGCGCTAACGTTCTCCGAGGTTCCAACGGCAGGGGGCGCCCCGGAGTGGGCAGCCCAGGTGTCCTCTCTGAGGACTACGAGTCCCAGAATGCTTAGAGGCACAGCTCCCTTTGGAACTTAAGCCGGAGGTGCAAGTCCTGCTGGGAGTTGTAGTCATTGTGCTAGGGGAGGCTGCGGAGGGCGCTCTGCAGGCCGCCAACCCCAGCCTGCTGTCGCCTTGCCAGGTCCTCCTGTGGACCCAGGCTCACAGGCCAATACAGAGCACGGGATCCCCGAACTAGATGTCCTGCTGCTGGGCTCCGTGGATGGGCGCCACCTGCTTCAAACCCTGGCCCGGGCGGCGCTCTGGCCTCGCAGGAGGTTTCGCGTGAGCTGGGATTCTGGGGTGTGGAAGGAAGATGAAAATGAGAGTCCAGATTCCCACCTCGAGGGAGGAGGAAGCTGGGGGTCTGGACCCCTAGGGGCGAGGGAGATGGTATCTGGGAGCCCCAACCCAAGGGTCCTGAAAGAAGTGTCTGGGGTTGGGGATTCCTGGGTTCGAGTGGGAGAAAGAGAGCCTGAGGACAGGGTCTCCTGAGTAGTGGTGGGGAGGAGGGCTCTGAGAGCCCGGACTCTTGTGTTTGAAGGGGGGAGTTGGTGTAGGGGTCTCCCAGGTCCCGTAGAAGGAGGGGGCTGCAGTCTCCCACTCCTCAGTCTCCCAGGAGCCAGGGACACAGATGTCAGAATCATTGTGCCCTGTCCATCCTTCCAGTTCTACGTGCTGGAGAATAATCTGGAAACTGTGGCCCGACACATGCTCTTCTTCAGCCTAGCCCTGGAGGATCCTGAGAAGATGGGGCTGCAAGGTCAGTGGGAAGGACCAGGGCGTTCTGGCCCCCAATCCCTTCCTTGTCTCTGCAGGGATTCTGGCTTTTCAATGATGCAATTAAAAGCTTTGGATGTTATTCCCTATCTCACCATTTGCTCTCTTATTTGAGAGAATTCCAAGAGAAAATCTACACAAAACTCTCAGAACAGTGGGTAGCACAGCGTAAGTGTTCAAAACCTCCTACGGCAGGACAAGCCCCAGAAAGATCAGGGGACTTCCTGAGAGCCAGTGAGTCTGCAGATGTGAGGAAGGTTTGGCTGAGCTGAGCTCAGTCCTGCCCCAAGCCTCCCCAAGTGAGAGGTGTGAATCCCAGGGAGCCAGCCTGGAGGAGGCAGCCTCAGAAATGAGGCTAAAAGGAGAAGGGAGGAAAGGAGGATGGGCGGGGACCCAAAAAGTGATTATTTTTCAGTAACAACTTCAGCTTAGCACCTAGAGTAAGTCTGGACTCAGACAAGCTGTGTTCAAATTCTGGCTCTGCTCCACAGAGTACTTTCGAGGACTCAGTGGGGAAAAAAATGCATAGCTCCTGGCTTCCGATATAGACTCAATACATCTTAGGGATTACTGCTATCAATAGTGTGGACAGTAGCTGTCATGGACAGCCCAGGGCACTCATAATACAGAGCACTTTGTATAAAGCTCTTAACCAACTAGAACTANGATTACTGCTATCAACAGTGTGGACGGTAGCTGTCATGGACAGCCCAGGGCACTCATAATACAGAGCACTTTGTATAAAGCTCTTAACCAACTAGAACTAAACTAATTTACCTACATCTATCTAACTAAAGGTATAGAGTTCTCTTTTATAAGGTTCTTAAACTACTAAGATGAAACAGTTTATTTAGATATGTTGATATAGATATATGTGTCTACAACTAAAGGCACATAGTTTTCTCTTATAAGATCCTTCGCTAAAATGAAACAATTTATACTATAACATTTTAACACACATGTATCTCCCTCTCGGTCTATAACCTTTTCTTTTTTAAGGCAAGGGAAATGCAAACATGAAATTCAGGATTGGGGTTATCTTGGAGGGGTAGAGGGACAGACGAGGAGACCTAGGCGAGGTCTGAGTTGTTCTTTGCGTTCTAGCTGTTGAGGTGAGTGGGGAGTTCACTGGGTCCGCTGTGCTTGTTACATGACTAATGATAAGATTCTACAGGGAAGGTGTGTGTCATATAGAGCGTGTCATTCTATAAACAGGGTATGAGACGCTCATTTCTGGGCTCACTCCTCTGCTTCCCCCACTACTTTTCTCCCCCCCCCC